TTTTAATGGTATTTATTCTTGGGGATAGAGAGGGGGGTATTATTGTATTATTCCAAAGGGACATGTATAAGTGTGTGTGTGTGTGTGTGTGTGTGTGTGTTTGCCCCCCTCACATCTTACAATAAGCCACATAACCTTTGTAATTTAAAATGTATTCATACACTTGTGTAGAAAACAAAACAAAGCTGATAACATTGACCTGATTCTGGAAACATCTACTTCACATGCAAATAAGAAACACTGATAGCTCACTTTGCTAATCTGAATCAGTAGCAGACTTTCTCATTCATGGGACCAATCATTTATCTCCTGATATTTCAAATGCTAAAAACTAGAAGTCATGTGTTTTTATTTATTTATTATTTTGGGTTTGTTTTATTTGTTTTTTCTTTAAAGGTTTTTTCCCACGGGATGCCATGTGTTCACTTGAGAGGAGAAAGACAGAGGAGGAGAGACAGAGAGAGAAAGTGAGATATCACCCCCCAAAGGGGATGGCAATGCTGCAATCCCTTCTTCAGTCTCCTCTAGGGATTCTGGGCACACGCACACACACACACAGCTGATTTTCAAGCTGCCAGGTCTAGGACTCAAATTGCAGTTTGCTATGTGAGAGTTCAGAGCCTTAACCACTATGCCACCTGCTGGCGCTCAGAACTGACATTTTCATTTGGAAGAGATGTGATAATGCTCCTTACCTTTCTTCTGGCTGGAGCCTACTTTGAGGTTAAACATTTGCTGTATGCAAACAGTGCTGACAATAATACAGCTTGTATCTTTCCCCTGGACCAGAGAAGCCAGCAGACCACTGGCCCTGGAATGAGGCAGACAGGAAGTAGGTCACCAGCCCTGCCTGATTTCCTTAACCTCTCTGTTAAGGGGCTGTATTGTTTGCTTTTCCAAGCCCATTCAAAAACATTCATCGTAAGTTTTTTGCATTGGTACAAATTCCCTAGAGTTTTGATCCCACTTCACTTAAGTTTGATAGGAAGTAGGCATATTTTAATACTCTGGATGAGAGTGGTTTACTGGAACCTGTCTGGTGACCCATGGCACAAACTTGAACTAGGATTTTATACCAGCATTCATTTTGTGAGATGAGAAAGACTGGAGTCTGCTGGGGTCAGATGGGAGATTCTGAGATTAGGTTTTTCTGACATAAAGCTGTGAATAAAAATCTTTCTCTAATGCTTTGATATGTCCCGGGTCATATTATTAGGATGATTCACTTAAAGGGGGGGGACCCATTATGTAAAAATGTATTTTTAAAAGCAGATAACTTCAGTAGAAATTATTTTCATTACCGACTAATTCAGCAGGGTTCCTTTAAAAAGCATCTCCCCTACTGCATTTAAGGGTGTTATTTACAGATGATTAGCTATTTGGTTAGAAAGAGGGACAATTTAAGTTTAAAACAGCCAACACCAGTTAATGATTGTGGCCAAAACAAAACTTGGGAGTAATTTTGGAAGTCAGTAGACACACAGGGCCTGATTTACAAAAGTGCAATTTACTTTTCTTCAGAAGCATGACTGTTAGATCAAACTGAGAAACACAGCTATTGACAAGCTGAAGGGGGAAACATCTCATGGAATCTCAGTGCTGGGAGTGGTGGCGGGGTGCTGAGAGGAAAAAAGCTTGTGCCTGTGAGATCTCAAAGACCACATATGTGGCTCTCAGCCCTGTGTAAATCGGATCTGGAGTGAGGAGGGGATCCCAGGTGACCGGGCATGTGAGCTGTGTGTGAGTGCACGTGCTCACACACACACACACATGCAAAATCCTCCCTTTACGTGCAGGCTGAATTGTTCAAGGACATGGGCTGTGGCTTTTTCCTAGAAAGTGCATCTTCATCTGGAAGAGAAAACCTAAAGCAATGTTGCAAGGAAGCTGACTGCCAGCAGCCAGGACCAAGAAGTCATAAAGGAGAAAGGCAGCCTCTGCAACACATCCTAGACCTGCGTAGATAACCTTCTCAGCACCACTGCACAGCCTCAGGATGGAAACGCACCATGCCCCCCTCCCCCGGCTACCCAAGTGGGAAGGAAAAAGCTCAGAGTCAGGCGCTGTCACAGAACACTAACTGCACTTGCCCAGCTGATCAGCTGAGTAGCATTGTACGAGACCGACAAGCCGGGGTTCTTACTGTACCAAAGTAGTTTCATTTTTGTTTTTATATGAGGTAGTCGGACTAGCTATTAATTGTGGTTTTCGTTAAGACTGTGACAGCAAAGGGCTTATCTGTTGTTTAATACTTTTGAAGAAGCTGGTATGAACCTAAATATTCAACAGCAGGGGGTGTAGATTAAAATATCACATAACTAAACAACAGAATAGTAGGAGGACATTAACGTGTTTTCATAAAGCATGTAAGTAAAAGAGCAAGATGGAAATGTGGTGATGTCATTTAAAAACGAAAGGATATTGGACACAGTTTATGTAATTATTATAAATGATCACTTTAAAGCATAGAAAAAAGTTTATGCACAGTGTATTTTTAATAAAAATAGACCCATTACATCAGAGCTTTGCACGATTTTCCTGTGAAGAATCAGCTTATAAATATTTTAGGCTTTGGAGCCAGCAGGTTGCATGGTGGTTAAGGGGCTGGACTCCTACATGGTCAATGTTGGTTCAAGTCCTGGACCTAGCAGCTTGCTTTCTCACTCTCCCCTGCCCTCCAGCCTCATCTCTATCTGGTGAACACATGTGCCCTGTAGCAAATTTTAAAATAATAATAATAATAATAATAATAATAAAGTTAAATTAATAATTCTGACTATTTTAGGCTTTGTGGGCCACCTGTGTCTCTGTCCAATGTTTGTGTTTGTTTGTTTTTAATTTTATAATCCTTGGAATATCTAACAACTAATCTCAGCTCACAAAGCCTTGCTAAACAGACCATGGGCTGGACCTGGCCCATGGGTAGAGCTGGCTCCCTCCTGCCTTAGATGGTTTCATTCCCTCTCATGCTTCAGCTATTTTATTATGGAGGATTTGCAACATATTTCCATTTTGCTATGTAAGACACATGCTTTCACTCATAGCTTTAGAATTGCTATACTGATTTAAACTAGAATTTTTTTTGGAGCTAATTTTTGCTCACTCTGTAGAGACAACTGAAATATAAATATGCACATGACTATAAAAAGATGTACTATCCAATGGTGACTGTCCATCTCTTGGGGCTAATGAGCGTAATGTTAATTATGATACAATGAAAATAAAACACTTCAGTGCCTCGGCCCCCAGCACTATGCTGGACAGCACAAAGGCAGATTCTATCCCAGACAGTTCTATGGGACCAGGTTAAGGAAAAAGCAAAATAACAGTGTGGGATTTAACCCTATGGTGGGTTTGGGTACACCAACTTTTAGAGGGAGGAAGAAAGGGCAGGAAAATGGAATAGTAATGGAATTTGGAATCCAATGGACCCAGAAAGCCATTCTAAGGTAGAATAAGTTCCCTGAATTTCCAAGACATGTGTCCCACATACTGCCAGATGACCCTGGGCACGTCACTCCACTTCTCGAGCCCTCCAGTGCCTTGGCTGCAAAGTAAGCATGCCCATACCTACCTGGTGCAGGTTTTGAGAGCAGTAAAGAAGGTTGAACATGTGAACAATGTGACAACATTACAATCCTAGGAGATGTGTGCACACATATTTACAAAGGCTAGGACGGGACGGTTTTCATAAATCCAGAAAGAACCATTGCTAGTCAGTACAGTTAGATAATGACTTGTCAAGGGCACAGAAGAATACCTTGCATTAATGAATACCAGAGCTGCTCGTGAAGATTATGTTCAAGTTGAGAGAAACAACTTGGGTTGGGAGGCCTCCACAACCTCCCGGAGATGCCAGTCACCCTCAGGCATGTCATACCATCAGGTTTTGGCCCCTGTGATTGCTGCTAGCCTTCCCTACCCCCACTCCCACTCCCACCACCATGGTGAGCAGCTTGGTATGTCCCAGCCTCACACTTTGGGAATCAACATGCTAGATTTTGGAAGGGTGGTGAGGATTCTTCTCATCTCTCATTCTCATGATAATCATAAGCTGGGTACTTCTCCTCTCCTCCCTTCTCAGCTTGATTGCACAAGCAGCTCATTTACCCCTAGAGACCTGACCCTAATAAGGACCCATTAGGCAGATATGGTAATCTCACAGGAAGTACACACATCGCATGGAGTTGATGATAAAGTCCTGGCTGTGGCCGGGAAACTCTTTGACGAGTGAACCATCAACCAGCTGGAGCTTTAATTCTTCTACCTGCTCTGGAACCCAGTGAGGGTGTTCTCCATTCTGGAGCACCCATCACAGGCAGAAGAATCTTTGCTTCTTTCACACTGTGATCTATCTTCCACATTTATTTCTGGTCTCCTCCTTCAAGTGCTTGATATTAAAGTATCTTTACTTTTAAAATGTCTATTTCTGTTGTTGTTATCCCCTTCCTCTGCTAAATGAAGAGAAACTTCATTTTCTCTCTCCTCATCCTCATTGAAACCACACATCTAAGGAAAATAATAGCCTGACAAACAGAACTCTAATCACAACTAGTAATATTTTCTACAGGGAGATAATTATGCTCAAGAGTACTACTGGTCAACCTTTGCTCCTTGGCTAGGGTGCCATTTGAATAGCCTGCACATTTCAGTTAAATTACATTCCTAGTGTGCAAAGCTGTGATACAGAAGGCTTTCCACCCTTCCTCACCCTCCCTCCAACCCAATGCCCACATCCCATCCCTTGGACTCAGTCCTGACAGGTCTAACAAAGAATGACTAGGACATCCAGGGCTGAGGACCGGGTGTGGGTGGAAATGAGCAGGGGTTCAGATGCTAAGGCAACAAGGACACAGACATGCTCATGAAGACCAACTTCACCTTGTTGAGAGCCACAGGAAAGGCAGTGGAGGGAGGAGGAGAGAACTTACATGGTGGCAGGGAAGGTGATTGGACTCAGATTATGTCACAAAACAAAGAGAGCCACACAGTGGGCTTACTTGCGGAAGTATATACAAGTGAACTGGGGGCACTGTACATGGAGGATCCCTCCTGGTTTGCCTGGCACAACAGCACCGTGCCTACGAGAGAGAGAGAGAGAGAAAGGGTGTCTGCTTGGGGAACAGTAACTACACCTGGGAGGGCCCAGCAATGCACATGAGAAAGGCAGAGACAGAAGCACAGCCACATCCCAGAGTGCAGGATGGAGATCCACAAGGAAACCCTTGCCTTAGCCCAAAGGTATTGGGAGACCCATCCTCCCTAACCCACCCAGCACATGTAATGACTTCTCATGTGGGGTCTGGCTGCCCCAGGACCCAGTTTCAGATCAGGAAGGGAAGAAGTGCAGCATACTCAACAGGGGACTTTACACATGAAGAGTCTCTAGAAAGTTCATGCAACATGTGTATAATAAAAAAAAAATGAGGCATGGCTTACAAAACTGTTTTTCATCAGAATAGGCATGTACTTCAATTCTACTTTTCCACAAACTTTTTTGAAATTCCCTCATAGCAGAGAGAACTAGGTAGTGAGCCTTACTCAAATACCACTTTGCTTTGTGACCTTGGTGGGTCACTGAACCTCTCTGTGCCTCAGCATCCCTATCTGGGAAGTTGGGGTAAATATACCTACCTCCAAGAAGGGCTGTGAATCGCATGACTGGAGATGTGCCCAAAGCAAGGGTTAGCACATAGTAACCACTCAATAAATGGCAAGCGTATGTGTTGATCCATTTAGAGAAACTTCTTCCTTCCCCCCAAACTCAGTTTTCCTGTATCAGTTCTTCAGCAGAAGGATAGGAGTAAGGCAGGAAAGAAATGAGTGCAATCTTTGCCACCCCTGTGATCCATCTTGGATTCACACAGGACACTGGGCGAGCCGTCTTTAGCTTCTGTGTTTCCAGTTTCCTCCCGGAAACTTGCTGCCTTGCACCTGGAGAGGTGGCTTAACTAACCCTGCAGTCAGTGGCCGCACTGCAGCACTGACTGCTGCCACCTGATCTAAAGCAAAGGACACTGGGCTCAGCCTTGCAAAATGGAATTTTCCAGCAGGGAAGGATGGCAGAACCCTGAGTAACCTCCTCAATCTATGCCATATTTTGAACAACCACCCACTCCAAAGAGGACTGAGGTCAGGAATCTTCAGGGTATCAATTCTACTTTCCTGCTGCTGCAAAGCTCAAACTGGAAGACTTTAAACAGAATTAGAGAGACTTTTGAGGAGTTCTAAGTCATTACTGATGATGGAAATGCTGTTTTGCCGTTACTGTTCACTTCTCTGTCAGAGTAAGGTCAACCAGCCCCACTTGCTTCTGTATTCCTGTCATCAGAAGTGGAAAGCAATCCCCTGTTTAAGAAGTCTACTTCACAAGTGCACCCCAAGGACAGCCAACTTTGTGCCCTTGGAGACTTGCCCCAGGGAATGGTTTCACAATCCTTAGATTTTTTCCTCAAGATCAGCAAGAATCAGGTAAAACTTCCAAAGAGAATAGAAGTCTGTGAGGGGTGACTGCAACCTGGTGGCATTAAGAGACAGTCAACCAAGAGTTCCCTCCTGACCTGTGTTCCACCAGCCTTTAAGTACTGAGCCAAAACAGATGGATCGCACGAGAGGACTACGAAGCCTTCACCATGTTCCACTTTCACCTTCTGCTCCCTAAATTCCCCTAGACTTTTTTCCAAATTAAAAACAAACAAGACTCTATTAAAATTCCTAACCCATCTCACCTTGCACTTCTCACCAGGTATGACAAGTTCACCAATCCTTCCCAGGGAGATGTAGCCTATAGAAGTTCCTCCTGCAGGAATGGTTCCTAGTCCTCACATTACTCCAGTATCTTAAGCTTACAGCTGGAGAAGAGCCACTACCACTTACTTAGCCCTGGACATCCAGTGCAATGAACTGACCTTGTCTTAGAAATAAATATGCTGAGACTCTGGACAGTCCTTAGACATGACCCACTGTGTCTAAACTGATAGCTTTTTCTGCATAAAGTCCAGTTATCACAACACCTACCATGAGCCTTTACATGGTATAATTTTTCCTCAGTAGGCATTTCCAGTGTCAGCAGATAACTGGCATGGTCATGAAGATTAACTGCAAACAAACCAAACCCCAGACAATGGGAATGGGGCCTAAAATCAACCAACCAACAGGAGGCCAGCTATCCACAAGGAAGAATATGCAGTACCCCCTGCAATAAGTGCTCTTAGCGATAAGGTCTCATGTGGGACTGGCAGGGGTCATCTGTATGATTTTTCTTATTGCTAGAAATCTTAGTGAAATCAACGTTTCTCTAGGATCTACAGAGAGCCACCAAATCAGAATCTTGTAGGGTGGGCCCCTGGCAGGTGAGTTTTGAGAAAGCTGCTCAACCCTTTCTTGAGCACCCCTGGTTAAAATATACTTTTAAAATATGATCTGAAGTTTCTTAAGATACGTAGGATTTAAAAGAAAAATAATCTAATTGCAGCAAAAACACATTCAGAAGGACATTTCAATATTGTACAGTTAAAACTCTTGGGTGAATGTTCAATATCCGAAATGCAATTTACAAAATTCCACTGGGACATAACACAGATTTTGTCTAGAAAGCTAAACCCTGGCTGGGTATAATGAAGCTTTCCTAATTTTTCCTTATGCTATGGACCTTAAAAATCTAAACTTAAAAAGCTTCTTTGAATGCCTTCTTAGTCGTAAAAACAAAAACAAAAACAAACTGTATACAATGATTTTGACCTTTGTAAGACAAAATCTAGGCAGTCACAGGACTTGGTTTTTATTTTATCTAAAAACACCCTCCAGTTTAATTTGCAAAGTACTTATCATACATTCCCTTAGTACTTTGTGCCCTTTTCTTAAAAGAAAGCTTTGAATTCAACAGACACAAAGCAGCAGAAAGGAACACTGTAACCTCCATGTGTTCTCTGGGCAGTTGAGTAATACGTTAGTTTTAAACAGTCCACAAGCAGCATTCTGAAGAGTGTTTACAAAGTCAGTCAAAGCACTGCCCAATTCAGAGTCAACCCACATCAATGTGTCCCCTGCCTGGAGTCTCCTCTCTACCCTCAGCCCCTGACATAGACTATCCATCTCCAACTACCTTGAACTTATTTCAAGAACTACATCCATGGTAACATCCTACACTTCCCAGACACCGGTGCCTTTGCTTATTAAACTTATAATTTAAGGGTAGTGACTGGCTTAAATTTATTGCCACTATCTATGCATTCCATACCCAGGACAGATATCATTCATTGAGTTCAGTTTCATCCTTTCCTCTTGGCCTGGAATCCTCAGTCACCCTCAACACAGCTACGAGTTAATCACTACCAGTTGATGAGAATTGGCAGAGAGGATAAAACCTCCATGCCACTCGTGATCTGAGAATGTTCATTAAAACATATAAAATGGACTTTTTAAAAAAGTGTCCAATGGGAATGAATGTTGCCCATTTCAACTTAACAAAATGTGGCTTCTCCTGTCTCCCTTCTGCATAGTTTAAAAGTAACCTCCTCTTTTCCCAGTCCCCAGGGTGAGTTAATTACTCCCTCTTCTCTGCTCTTTATTCTAATCTCCCTGGTAGATCATTTGTCATGTTTTATCACAATTTTCTATTTACATACTGGTCTAAGCTACAGAATCCCCTGAGGTAAAGCCAAATTGAAATCATCTCTTTATCCTCAGCACCTAGCAAAATAGTTGGACTTCAGAGGGATTAATAAATATGATTTATTAATAATACATTGGTTTTTTTTTTTTTTTAAGACTTCAGTATGATTTTCTCTGCTAAAAATTGTTTTTTTTTCTCAACCAGTCCTTCTTGAAGGTTTGGTTTCCACCCGTTGTTGATGGCTGGGAACTCGCATGCCTAAAATTTGAATATATTCACAAGCTTTCGCTAAGACACTCATTTTCTCTCCTTTCCTGTTTCTTTAAGGTTGGTTCATCCAGCTTAACACAAAACCTGGGCAGCCTAGCGATCCATTTCCTGGGCTGTTGATGACTGAATTAGTAACAGGCAGTGACAGACCTCAACCTCAGTATGGCTGAAACCTTTTCCAGGGCCTGTCATACTCACTCGCTCAGAGGGCCATGACCATCAGCATCCCAAGTTCCGGCAAGTTGTCTACACAGCCAATGATCCCCACAGAGATCTGTCCTAATCCCGAAGGATCAGGGAAAAGCCTAGGAGGAATGAATGTTTTCTACCCCCCAAAAAGGACAGAAAAGTGTCTAAATTTTTTTTACCCCGTTGCTAATCCTTAGGTGAGGAAATTGGACTCAACCCAACTGGAACAACGGTGCGATTTCACACCTCCATGACTTTACCCTGGCTGGCTGTGTCTTCTCCCAGGAAACCCTTTCCTTCCCCCCTAGAGAGCTCCCTGCCAGCCTCAGCTTTGGCTTCTCCCCTTCCTAGAAACCAGGTAGGTCTGTTTGCCTCTCCCTGACCAGGTTCAGCTTTGTCCCTCTGCATTCCCAGACTGTGTTGTGAGGATGTATCTAATAATGAATGAGTACCCTCTCCCACTGATGCCACTAACTCTAACAGGCCAAGAAACGTGTCTCACCACCCCCATCGGTCTGGGAATTGAAGTCCTCAGGCAGGAAGCAGCCACAGGGAGAAACCAGAGTGCTACACTTTCAAGAAAAAAAATCAGAATGGAGGATGGGAAAGGAGAAGAAAGGCTACTTGCAATGTCAACATCAAATAGCCACAACTCCATGCAAGCCCAGTGACCAGGCTCTTTTCTGTAATTTCTTGGCTCAAAACAAAACAAAACAAAATTTTAACAAAATATCCCAACTGCCTGGTAATGGAGAGTGGCCAATCAGTTCATTAGCCCCAAGATTAAGATGGGCTCTGGGGGATCAGTAAGTGGCATGGTGCTTAAGGTGTTGGACTCCCATGTGGTCAACTGTGGTTCAAGTCCTGGACCCAGTGGTTTGAAAATCATGCCAGGTGCGTGTGCTTGTGTACCCAAAATCACAAATAGAGAGGAGAAGGGATTGAGGTGTGGCCATCCCCTCTGGGGGGTGATTTCTCACTTTCTTTCTCTCTCTCTCTCTCCAGAAA